GAAAGGTAAAACCCTAACACCAATCATGGGCAACCTTCCGTCTGAACGAATAGAACCTGGTTTCCCATTCATTCGATGTGGAGTGGATTATGCAGGTCCCATAAACGTACTGAATCGCAAAGGAAGGGGAGCTAAATTGGAAAAGGGCTATATTTGCATATTCGTTTGTTTTGTTACCCGGGCCATTCATCTAGAACTTGTCAGTACGTTAGCTGCTCAAGAATTTATATTAGCACTTAAAAGATTTATCTCACGACGAGGTAAACCAGCTCAAATTTTCTCAGATAACGGTAGAACTTTCATTGGAGCCATGAAAGAGATTAACAAAATGTTAGAGCAAAATTCAAAGCAAATAATTGATAGATTATCAACTGACAATATTGAATTTAAATTTATTCCCCCTTATGCTCCTCATTTTGGGGGATTGTGGGAAGCAGGAGTAAAATCATGTAAGTTCCACCTTAAGCGTGTCGTGGGTACCGCTAACTTGACATACGAGGAGTTCAGCACTGTGTTGGCACAGATCGAAGCAGTCCTAAACTCCCGTCCTATAAGTCCTATGTCCTCAGATCCACATGATCTTCGTCCACTAAGCCCAGCTCATTTCCTCATCGGCCGGCCACTCACTGCACCAGCCTGCAGAGACCTCACCGAAGCACGGACTCACAGCTTGAAACGGTTTCAAAGAGTGGAAAAAATAAAACAGCACTTCTGGAAACGCTGGTCACAAGAGTATGTTGCTGAACTTCAGACAAGAACGAAGTGGAAGGCGAACAGTGAAGACATAGCATTAAACACGCTTGTCGTTATTATGGAGGACAATTTACCACCCCTTAAATGGCGTATGGGCAGAGTTACCCATATTTTCCCCGGAAAAGACAGCGTGTCGCGTGTCGCCACCATCCAAACTGCTACGGGTCCTGTACAACGAGCGTTCTCGAAAATCTGCCCTCTGCCTGTATCATCAGCAGAGGACGACAACATGAATGCAGCCTGCGGTATCTCCAATCAAGCGGCAACGTAGATACATCATTGGAAGCTGGAGCTTCCAAGGCGGCCGGCATGTTGGCGCGACTTCTAACGCCGCCTAGCGACGCACCGGAACACCAAACTTTTAGCTACGAATCAGAGCTCGTCATTGTTAGCAACCAATCACAGCACGTCGTGCAATTAGTTATAAGATCTGTCTGTTTTTAAATTTTGATTATTACCTGATACACACTGTTAGCAATAAGACGACTTAAATATAACCAACAAACGTTCAATAAATCAATCATTGAAGAGCACCTGCCTCCCGTTCCTGTACAATGATAAATAATAGAAATACAAGTCGGAAATATTAAAGACAAATAACATTTATAAGATAATTAGAAAATTTGTTAAAAATTGTCTAAGTCTTGGAAGGAGTTCATGTATAAAAGAAAAAGAAGTTATGGAAGGTGTTCATGTATAGATGTCTAGTATGGAAGAACTGCCGGAGATACATACCTGCAGTTGTACATATATATATGGGATGGTCGGGAGCCCGACTGCTTGAAGTACTGTAGCACAATGACTAATAAAGTAAGGTCTATGATACAAAAACATTATTATAGAAGGTCTCCTTGATGCATAAGCATTACATGGGGTGGTCGGGTGACCGACTGCTCTTAGTACAGTAACAAAATGACTAGTCCTTATTAGGGACTTGAAAAAGGATTATTATGGTGGCGTGTATGCTGCTTCACGAGCAATTGGTCCGAGGTAAACTTGGGCTCGCTAACCGATGTGTCCTAGACATATCATCTTAGTACCGGTGGTAAGCGGGTTTGTTGTAGCAATAAGCTTTCCCGTGGATATCGCACACACATACCGTTTGTGGGCGACGTCGTAGCACATAGCGATGCATCGTCTATCTTTCGGATTGGGATGAGTGTGTTTGGTAGTACTTTTAAGTATAACCAGCATACTGAACTTCATGTCTTAGTGCATTAGTGCTATGACACGTGGAGTTTCGTTCATTGGCGTCTTAGTAGCGTGCCACTATGATACGTTGGTAATATTTTTAATTAACAACAATACAAACTTTGTTACCAAATTCGATAGGGATCATGTAGGTGTGTTGTGAGAAGGCACCACCCGTATGATAGTTGCATTGATGCTTACTGCTACTTGCGGTATTGCGTCTTGTGATGGATCTGCGGGTGTGCTGCGTCGGATTCGACGCATTCTTGTGGTTCTGGTCGATGGAGGTATACAATTATCATGTTAGTGCCGGTGGTAAGCGGGTTTGTTGTAGCAATACGGCTTTCCCGTGGACATCGCATACCCATACCGTTTGCGGGTGGTGTCGTAGCGCATAGCGATGCATCGTCTATCTTTCGGATTGGGATGAGTTTTGTTTGGTAGCACTTTGAAGTGTAAAAGGCATACTCAACTTCATGTCTTAGTGCATTAGCGCTATCATACGTAGAGTTTTGTTCACTGACGTCTTAGTAGCGTGCTACTATAATACGTTGGTGATATTTTTTAGTTAACAACAATACAAACTTTGTTACCAAAGTTGATAGGGATCATGTAGGTGTGTTGTGAGGGGGCGCCATCCGTATGATAGTTGCATTGATGCTTACTTCTTCTTGAGGTATTGCGTCTTGTGATGGATCTGCGGGTGTGCTGCGCCTGAATCGACACATTCTTGTGGTTCTGGTAGATGGAGGTATGCGGGTGGTGATGTCTGCTGGGATATATGGGGGACCTTGGGATAGTGTAAGCCCGACGATAGTCGTATTGATGCTTGTTGCGTTCCGCAGCATTGCGTCTCTGATGGTTGTTTGGTGGGACGCTATTCTCAATGGCGCTCTCTGCGTCTTGGTTTGACTCACACCTAAGTAGCTTTGCCGAAGTAGGGTCCCTTCATTACGGGAATGGAGACTGTCTGCCTTCCACGATGTTTTATATGACAACATAATAATATATATCTGTATCCTTCCTACCTTTGAATGATTGAAAGCAACTTGTTGGTGGGTGAGGTAAACATGATCGAAAATGCATTTACTCTACTTCAATGACACAAAACCTTTCTGATTGCGAATTATTACTCTTATCTTAAAACTGCCTTTTGGCTATATCTGCCGTTGTATTGGTTGGTGGAGCATATGTGTCGACCTCATGCGGGTAGTAGCTGGCGGGAGGATCTGAGGAGACTCTCAAGGATGCGGCCGAAAGCCGCACAACGTGGGACCCCATTCCCTTGAGGTGAGCGGTGGACTCATGACACGCTCTGCGGCTAGTAGTCGTGCTGATCATGCAACTGGTGGTGATGCCATACACTTACATCACGTCTGCAGGAGCGGTGGTCTGGCAGGTGGTGGCGGTCACGGAGGGTTTACGGCCAGAGTGCTTATTTGCCTAAACCGTGTGACGTTCATTCACTGTGGCTGGATTCCGGTCATGCGCGACTTCGGTCGATGTTTGTGTTTACGCACTAACAAGGGGCCAAGCCTCTTTTATTGGTTCGCCAGTTATTTTGCTGTGGACTACGGTCCAGTTCCAGAATTAACGTTCCCTTCGGAGGGAGTGCATCAAAATGGTTGGCGCTCACCGCGCACGGCGTGTGTGTAGCCGTGTGCCTCCCCTACATTTTTTTAAATAAATGTAGGAGAACGAAGCCCTTGTATCGGGTATTTTGTATAAATATATTGTGAGCCTTTTCCAAGCGGGAAGGGATAAATAATAATAAATTAATAATGTAAACCTGACGCAAGTGGAATAGGAACGTTGTATGTTCTTAATCTTTCTCGAGCCCTGTCTTCGTGAACGTGGTTCACTTAGCTTATGAGGCACTACCAACAGTGACAACTCTAGTGAATATTCATTCTTCCAAAAGACACTTGAAATAACGTTAAAGTTACTAAACAAACACAACGTAAATAGGGTCCTAACTACGACGATCACGCCAAAAATATTACAAACGGCCTATTATTAAACCTTCTGAAAGATCAAAACATATTTATTAATCCTGGTCATATATATATATATTAATATTATACATATTTATTATTATGAGAGGGGGGAAGCGTTACATTGCCATCAGATGGACTGGGTACTCGTTTTTCATCCTTTCTCTAAAAAGTATCATTATACGTGGTAGAGCCATGCTGCAGTTATATTAGTAGTATAGTTGTAGCACGAACAGGTCGAATCGACCGAGGAAGGACCACGCTCTCACAGAATACCAGCGTCACCGGAACCGGAGACCCTTTTTACTGGAAATGAGGCATTCCATCTTAGTCCTCACGGGTGAAAACGCATTTGCATTTTCACCCGTGTTTGATTCGTAATCGAGGATAGATGTAGATGTCTATGGCCCACAGCTACCACTTACCATCAGGTGGACTGTGTGCTCGTTTGTCACCCTATCCTATAAAAAAAGAAATAGTTATTTTGTAAACAAAACCGAGACGTGGCCTTTTGTCAACTTGACAAGCAAGACAATATGACTCTTACATTACGTAATGTTCATGACGCTTCATTTCGCACACTATTACGTCATTTGGAGGTAAAAGAAAGGTCAATTAATTTTATTCATTTTTGATGAAATATGTACCAACCCTTACTTTTAAAACCTCTAAATAGCAAAAGTAGGTCCTGTAAATGAACAATCTCCGTACGTTTTCGAAAGTAGCATGTCTTGTATTTTTTTAAATGGCAAAATTTCTTATAATTCAGCATTTAAATTAACTACGGAAATGTAAATAACATAAACCGTGGCGGTGTGAGAATATTACTACTCCATACCATACCGTAGGTGTGGTAATAGACGACAGTAGGAAACTGAAAAGCATAATCCTAATAACAACTTAAAATATAAAAACTTTGTTTGCCAACCCGTCTGCCAAACGTGGCAACTATGACAAAATCCCCTATCAGAATCTCCAATCAATTTTGAGTTTATAGGGAAGGCCTATGGATTATTATAGGCTTTATTAGATGGACGGATGGAAGGAACATTGTAAACTTACCTAAAAGTGTCCAGATTATCGCTGAATCCAGCAAAAAACTGTTGAAAACGAGTACCATCATCTACTACAATAATATTACGTTTGTCGTTGTTGGAGTCATTCACAGTTTTAGTAACGTTTGCTTCTCGATTTTGCTCGCAAAAAACTATGCTGGGGCAAATCAAATCCATGAAGTGGCTGAGTTCATCTGTAGGAATATATTTATATATATATATATATATATATATATATATATATATATATATAAGATTATCAATCATATATATACAATTGAACGTTTTTTATTATTATACATTACAAGTTTTGTACTTCGAAATTTGTCTTTTGTAATTTGTATGCCACAGAGTAGGACATAGTTGAAGTTGATTATATAGTTATATATCTAACATCTATGTAATACCTATGATACACGAAATTATTAAATAAGTGAATGGAAATGAAAAGGCTTTGAATTAGGAATATTATAATATAAAAAGAAAAAATAATTTTTATTCTATATAAATTTACAAGTAATATATTATATTTTCGTCTATTAATAAATACATTATAGATAATAACACGAGAGCACATAAAGCTCCGCATCGAATTTCCATCCCGTCGGACTATGAAATTGTAGGAATAGACAGTTCACCTGTGCACACACTCTTGTGCACTATAATCCTGTCCTGCACAGATGGCTTGTCTCCATTAATACCGTCTACCGTGGCAAATTCGATTTGGAGGACGTTATGGTGAGTGCAGAGAATCGAAAACTCTTTTAACTGGTAACGTGATATTCCATCGTAAGTTTATACAAATCTTTATTGGTGGCTTTTAAATTATTTGGGGGATAAGTTTTTTAATTTTGATTTATGTCAGTTTTTTATCTTTATTATTTCGTTTTAGAATAACATGTGATCTATTACGTCGTCCTGTGTATAAAAGTTCCTGAATAAAATTAAAATTAAAATAAGCACTGTAACTTAGTTCTCAGGGATAAATAATACATCTGCATTTTAATTTCCAATCAATGATAGATGTAGCTTTGTCTAAGGATCACAGCATCCACTTACCATCAAGTGAACTGTGCATTTGTATGTCACTCTTATATCTATTTAAAAATATAGGAAATGAAAGCAAATAACACTTACAAATTGTGCAGTTCGGATCAATCATAAAAGGGATAACTCCAGCAAAAATAACTCCATAGTACACAGCCGCCATTAATTCATGGTTCCTTAGTATCAACATCGCAGTTTTTTCTTTCATTCCTCTAGCGATCAATGCTCTCGCAAGTGGAACCGACATCTTGAGTATTTGTTCGTTAGTAAAAGACTCATTTGTCAAACCATTTATCTGCAATAAGTAATTTAACGCTTGTCTTAAATTTATTATTATTATTATTAAAGTTTAATCCCTCATTTTACCCCCTTATTGCAATTCCATTACAATAATGCTAAAGTAATGATTGCTACGTGAGCAGCACTTTCTTGTTGTATAGTACGTGCGATATAAGAAGTATTTCTTACAAATTATTGCATTTTGTACTAACCAACATAGTTATTTTACGCAAAATAACAGAGTAAAAAGCCAAAGTATTTATTTTAATTGTTTTATAATAATAGGCTGATCTCAGGTTCGATCCCTTCCGGCACCAACGGAATTGTTAATTGTGCTGAATGTGATTTTTTGGAATACTATTAGAAATAAACTACACTAGGACCCTTTTTTATATTTTTAAATGACATATATTTACTGTTACCAGGTGCTCGGCGGTGAAGAAAAACGTGAGAAAACCTGGATGTCTGAGAAATAAGAAAAAAAAATTTCTTGGATATGTGGCGTTCGTTAACACGCATTGGAGCAGCACGGCGGACATTTTCTTGCCCTAAAACCCTCGCAAAAATGAGAGCAGCCCTGTGCCCAGCAGTGGGACGTATATAGACTCTAACTTTAACTTTCTATTGGCTTGATGGACTTTGCAAAAATGCTCTAACACACGTATGCTTATTTCAATCCAGACACATTGGTGTTATATTGAATTTAATAGTTCTCACTTCGAAAACGAAAGACTTCCGTGAAATAAACTTTCATCCTTTATTTCACGCCCTTGGGAGTAAAAATTTTAACAACACTTAAACGCTTATATCTTTATTTTTTAACTACGTCAGTATTTAATTCAAAGCTTCTTACAGCAAAAACAGCAGACTTCTCAAACTTTCCTAAAAGGCTTAAACATGAAAATTAATTTCTAACCAGAAATCTGAATTTTCAATTCCTTGCTTCTTACTTTGAAAATGATGGATTTTCACATAAAATTTCGGTCCCTTTTTCCCGGTATTGACTTTCGAGATATCCTTTTAAACGATGCCTACAATATAAATCATATCACTCTCTGCAAATATCAAATTTCTATCCTTAGCGATATGAGCTAGGCATTGATGAGTAAGTCAGTGAATGAGTTAGTCAGTCAGTCAGTTCTGACTTGTTCTTTTTATATATAATATGTATTGAAAATTTAAGTACTCGGTAACATTTCATATGAGTTTAATTTATAATTTTATATAATACGAATGAAAATGAATTTCATGAAATAATTGAGAGCAGCGCTGTTCCCTTTTAACCATTGTTAAAAAAATTAAATATTACAAAAAAATGTTGACAATTATTGTACAATATACCTATATCCTTAAGTTTTCCTTGTATGCACTGGAGATTTGCTACTGACTATTTGGATTTTAGTTCTTATATAATTAATAAAATCAATATAAAATACGATATACGAAATAAAACCAAGCTAAATGAGTTGCCTCAGGGTTTATATCGTTTTGCCGGACTGAATATCGTTTTAGCTCAGAGACCGGTTTTTTCGTCGTTTCGTGCTACATAACAGGGTTTTTCTTAAGTTTATTTTCTTAAAATGATGCTGGTATATACTTCGTTTTATTTATCTTTTTGCCTTTTATTACTTTTTTATAATTTACCCTATGTGCATGGAACAAACGCATTACTTTTATTCTTTTAATACTAATTTCAATTATTAACTTGGGTTACAGGAGCATTCATGGTTCAACTACAATTTTTCAACTACAATTGATAGACGAGTTTCTCATAAACCAGCAGTAGCGGCAAGCCCACTTAAACACTTAAACGATATTACTTCTGCTCTTAACCATCTGCCCAGCATAGTGTGGTCAATCCTTTTTTTTATTTAAGAAAAGAAAGAAAATACGTCTATTTTTGGAAATGGACTTACATAATATAAGACATTCAAGATTATTAAAAACTAATTTTGAAAGATTTTAAATCCTCTAAATCTAAACTGTTTAAACACATATATATATATTCAAAATTAGTAGTAGTAGTAATTAGTATCTTTCAAAGTTAGTAGTCTGTTAGACAGACAGACTAAAAATAAAATTTCAAAGTTTGAACACATTATTCCCGGTAAAAGAGTTAGTACAGTACAAGTAAATATTAGTATACCTATAAGTATTAAGTATATACTGGCATATAACTAAAAACATAAACAACATACACAAAATATTTACGTAACATGCAAAACAAACACTGCTATAGATAAATTATTACTCATCACTATAACCTTCATTTTTACAAATAACACAAACATATTATCAGTTTGTTCATTTTTGGTTCCGCTTATTTAGTTTTATTGCTAAATAAATATCAAGGCAATTTTTACGAAAACTTATGTAGGATAAAACATATTATATTTATTAGTAGCTGATCCCTGCGACTTCGCTCGTATGTAACTTTTTTTCGCAGAACCCTAATTGTTTTTCTAAAATAAAAGTAGACTAAAGTTATCCTTTTCACTTGCAGATAGCTGATGTCAATCTGATATCTGCGAGTGAAATGACCGCTAAAATCAGCTTGGCCGTTTCGGAGATTAGCTGAAACATACAAACAGACAGACAGACGAAAATTAAAAAAAAATGTTTTTCTTATAAGTGCCGTATTTACTTTCATATGCATTTAGTAAAAATCTAAATAAAAATAGATTTTTACTAAATGCATATGAAATAAAAAAAATAATAAAAATAAAAATCTGTTATTTTAACATTACAAACAGACACTTCAAATGTATTTATTTGTATAGATTATGTACATAATTTTCTACCTGTAGGGTATGCAAATACACCAACTTCTCTCGAGCACATACGTCACGCGGGTGTGATGTGCGGGTAACGAAAGTTGCAGTCTCGGTCCGACAGCCGGCCCGGTAACACGTGTAATGTGTTGACGAGCCAGAATAAGTTAATATACAGTGAACAATACACTACATAATTTACTTTCATATTTCTGCTCAAAGTTTCATACGAAGTATTTCTTTTTGTTGCGAGTATACCATAAAGAGTTGCAGCTGATATACAAGTGGTTTCGAGGCGTGCTCCTTTTGCAAGACACCATACCCGTTTACAAAAGTCAACTTGTGATGGCTTTCTCATACAAGTGCGGCTTCGAAACTTTTAACCCTCCCGTCCCGTCCAGATTTGCCTTTTCGGATTATTATTTGTTCCAAAATATGAAAAAAGGGCCTCGGGAAAAGAAATTTACAGATGACAAAGAAGCGAAGTCGGCAATTTCTGCCCATTTTATAAATATATTGTATAAATAAGTTATTTGAACAGTCTGAGAAGTGTATTTGAGTTAAAAAAAATATTTCAAAATGGAAAAGTGATTTCATTTTTAATTTCACCCCCATTCCCTTTCATTCCGCAAATATATTGACCTCCCCTCGTACGTCCCATAGCTAGACACAGGCTTCCTCTAATTATTAGGGTTTGAAGCAATTTGTCCACCACGCTGCTATGTGCGTGTTAACGAACTTTGCAGGTCCTCTAAATATTTCGCAGACATGGACGTTTGTCGTTTTTATTCACTGTCAAGCACATGGTAAATCCAGTAATAAAAATGCAATTGACAATATCGTTGAAGTAGGCGGGAATCGAACCCAGGTTGCTCGCGTACAGTGAAATTTACGGTGAGCGCTCAAACCCTCACCTCCTCACTCACTCACTCAGTAATATATATTATACATATGTAAAACAATATTTATGTTTTTATTTATAATATTTATCATTTTAAATATTCACACATAAAATGTGTAATAATTTTAGATTCTAATTTTTTCTTTTTTTTATTGCTACACCTACGTCAAATTCCATAGATTCGCGCTTCCACTCCATGGATTGACTGGTAGGTAATGCCTTTAGGCATTATTCCGCCCTTTTTATCCTTATTTTTCGAAGGGAATTCAATAAAGATTTTAAATAAATAAACATATCACATTATAATAAATAATCACAACTTACCAAGAAAACATTAGAACGATATCGATTCATACAATAAAATATCACTTCGGCCACACTTATTTTACTTCGATCCATTTCTTTCTTTACCTCCAGTATTGATTCCAAAACTCCATCAAGATATAATTGTGCGGGCGTTGATCTACCTCTACGTACAGCATGAGACATTATTGGAGAGCTTTAACGCAATTTTATTTCAATAAACAATATCAATTACACGACTTGAATCAAAATAACAGTTACTTGACTCAATATTCCATTATAATAATTATACTATTTCTCATTATAGGCATGTCAGTGCGAGATCGATAAATAAAATAATTGATTAATTTTCGCCAGAATCATCGATTTTGAATGTTAGGTTGATCTGAAACTGGATTGACTTAGTGAATATTCAGGATAAGTCCAAAACTTTTAAAGTTTATCCATTTTACAGGTTAGTTACGTATATATATGAGATATTTTTTTTCGTATTTTGAAACGGACCCCTAAATAAAACAATTTATATCTACCACACCGAATTTCAGTGACGGCGGTTTTGTATCCGTTGTGAGTGGTCAACGGATGCAAGTCATCTGCGCAGAATAGAGTGCACTCTCCATTTCTCCGCACTCAATTTCGGATGAAACGGAAATCCGCCACGCCTGCAGAGATCAGACACATCGCCCATGGGTTTATACGGAGAACACTTTTTCCAGTTCGCCGCAGTCACCTCTTCTACAGCCTGCCCGAACATTACTGGCACATCTTCCGGCAGTAAAAATTATATTCTTTTCATTTAAATTAGGGCTGCAAGTGATAGAGGGTGACCCAGCAACCCGTAGAGTAAAGTGTTCGGTTGCTTGTTGCTAACAGCAGTGAATAATTCTGGCAAGCAATTCGTAGTTTTTTATTTATTGGATAAGGGTGAAAAATGAGTGCATATACCACCTGATGGTAAGCGGTTGCTGTGGCCCATATGATAGACATCTACATTTATACCCAATTACGAATAAAAAAGCAGATAATTGTTGCCCGTATGTACTAAGATGGAATGCCTCATTTCTAGTAAAAAAGGTCTCGGGTTATCTAATCTCACCGCACGAAACACCGAAGTATTCAGCTACTGTTTTACATTGGTATTCTGTCAGAGCATGGTCGTGTCCGCTCGATTCATGCTACTACCATAATATAGCTGCAGCGTGGCTGTACCACGTCCGTACGTAATTTAGAATTTAGTAGTTCCGTAGTATACATACGACAAAGACGCTACTACAATTTCATATAGAAATTGCACCAGGTACCCCGCCAAAGTGAAGAAAGTAAAGTTAACGCTCAAAATCTTTCCTTCGTTTTTTGATCGCGTTACATTAGAAGGCGTTGGTTCATTTCTAAAACAGCAAAACCGTTAGCTACTGCTCCGTTTTTGGATTATATTGATAATCCCAAGTTTGGGTTTCAATTGCGAAAAATCGATTCTCGATAAAATAATTATTGGAAGACCCATTTTCGAATAATCACTTTCTTTCAAATGTATAGACATCCCTACTCATGATGTTTGCTACTAATGAGCACATCACATATTTAATTTAATTTCTGTTGTTGTCAAGATAAGACCAATGTGGAAATGAAGTCAAAAGTCATTAATCGTAACTGTAAGATAACTGAACGCATTAAATTAAGTGACATCATTTTATAGTAATATTAACAAATTGATATCCGCGTTAATAATTAAAAAATAAAATAACAACCAATGTCAAAGAACTAAAGTTATTACTTATTTTTTATAGTATAAGAGTGAAAAATGAGCACACAGTCCACCTGATGGTAACTGGATGATGTGGCTCATGGACGTCTACATTTATTCTCAATTAAATCAAAGTTTGACGGCTCCATGGCGCAGTGGCTTAGCAATGAGTTCTTGCGCTGAGGGCCGCGGGTTCAAATTCCGCACTGGACAAGTATATGCACGGCCTACAAATAATTGTTCCAGGTTTGGATGTTTGCTCTTGTGAAATTTATGTATATCAACTGCCTCTACGACACAGCTGAAATTCCTAGTGTGTAGAAAACGTTTTTACATAATAAGAAAAAATCCAGATGCATTGTCACCCTCAGGGTCCTTAGCCTCATTTTCAGTAAAACGGGTATCCGGCATGCCACCCCACATGTCAGTCACCTCGTGAGCCAGGTCCAGATATTTTGTTCGTTTATCTGTTTCGGCTTTCACGAGGTTCTCGTCATACGGAATGGTAATGTCGACCAAAAATATCCTTGACTGTGCCCGGTCCATCAGCACAATATCAGGCTTATTCGCAAGAATAGTCCTGTCCGTGATGATGGCCCGGTCCCAGTAGAAACTGGCCCGGTCATTTTCGAGCACGGCTTCCGGTAATTACTTGTAATACGGCAATTTCCGGTACACGAGACCGTATTTCAGAGCGAGCTCCTGGTGTGCTGTGCTGCTAGGTTGTGCCTGTGCAAGTACTCAGAGTTAGAAAGCACCGAACAACCGGAGATGACATGCCTAAGTGACTCCCCGGGATGGCGACAAGCTCGACAGACGTCGACGTTGCCATCATTTAGGATGTATCTACGATAGTTGTTGGTCTTAATAACCTGATCCTGTATTGCACAGACAAAACCCTCGGTTTTCCCGAAGAGGTCAACGAAACGTAGCCAGTTGAGGGAGGCGGCTGTATCTACGAAGGGCTCATGTAGAGCCTTGTAGTACCTCCCGTGGAGCTCCTTCTCCTTACATACGGTCTTCCGGTCGGAAATGCTCTGTAATGCCGGGTTCTGCCATTGCTCGTTGGCTAAGGATAGAGGGGTAAGTCCTTTATCACTAGAAATTATGTCATTATAGAATGGATCATCCGATCTCGCCAGGAAGTAATCACGGAAGCTGCACACTTCGCGATTATGCATGGTGAGCGCGCTCAGAAAGCCACGCCCACCATGCTTTCGCGGCAAGTACAGCCTCATTACCGACGATCTCGGATGATGCATCCTATGGGACGTCATGGTAGTGCGGACTTTTCTATCCAGGGCGTTAAGCTCAGTCTGAGTCCACCTGAGTATGTCAAAGGTATACATGAGAACAGGCATGCCCCAGCAGTTATATGCGTGTGACTTATTCACACCGGACAAAAGGCTGTTAAGCACTTTGGTCAAGCGTGCATAAAACACGTCGCAAACTGACTGTTTCATACCAGCCTCATCGATACCTATGTTCTATGACATACCCAGCTATCGGTATCTTTCAGCCTCGGAAAGAATCCTTAAGTTGACGGGCATAGACAAGTCTATGCCCTCAGAGTTAGCAACCCTTCCCCTTTCAACATGGAGGACCGCACACTTATCCGTCCCCAGCACCATTCCAATGGAATTGCTAAATTCACAAGTGATGTTTAGCAGTTCCATAAGATGGGAGCGACTGGAGGCGAATAACTTGAGGTCATCCATATAGAAAAGTTTGGTCACTTTTGTCTCTCCTTTCTGTAGCTGAAATCCCCTCACGGAGCCCTCCAGTAAGGTACTGAGAGGGTTCAGAGAGAGGCAGAACCATATTGGACTCAAACAATCCTTCTGGAAGATACCCCTTCTTATCCTTATGTGGTTCTCCACAGCCATCATCCGCTCGCCCAGATGACAAAGGATCGTACTCCACTGCCCCATACACTGCTCGAGGAAGTTTCTAACTGTACAGTCAATCTTGTACAGCTCGAGGAGGGGTAGCCATGTATGGGTCACAGAGTCGAACGCCTTTCTGTATGTAGTCTATCCAGGCGGCAGAGAAGTTCCGACGGTTGCGTTTCACCACTTTACCTATGACCGCGTCAATGAGGAGTGGGTCCTTGGTTCCACGACCACCACCACGACATCCATTTTGAGCGCGTGACGTCACTTGGTTTAGCTCCAGGTGACGAGTGATTCTCGTGCTCTAAATGGATGTCAGTGTCTTATATATGGTGGGTAGACACGTGATGGGGCGGTATTTGCTCGGATCTGTGGTATCCTGATCTTTAGGAACCAAGTGAGTGATCCCAGTAGTGAAGAGGCTCGGGAGCGACTTCTGGTCGAGAGCCTCTTGAAACTGTCGGGCGAGCACAGCGTGTCACACTATGAACCCCTTCAGCCAATAATGATGCAGCCCGTCGAGCCCCGGACTTTTCCAGTTCGCCTCAGCCATGTCTTCCGGCGTTATGGTGATGTGGTCCATAGGCGTAACACTCGCACCCTGGCTCGCCACAACTTCCATCCAAGGGCCCTCGCTGTGGTTTACGGGCTCTGACCACAGACCACGCCAGAATGCGATAATGTCAGCCTGATCCGGTCCTTGGCCCGCTCCACACACATTTGGTCGCTCCAATGATTTATAGAGCCTCTTCTGATCATTCTGGAAGAGACGATTCTGGTTGAACCGCCTTCACTTTTTGTTAAATCGTCGAATCTGCTTCCCCCAAGCAGCGATCTTCAGGTCGTCTATGCGCTCCGTTAGTTTCAGCGTGATATCCGGCTGGGACAAACTGATATTTGTCCCAGCAAACGCCATCCTAACGGTGCGCACAATCCTCGGTCTATTATTACCTGACCTGAAGCTTGTCAGTGTGCCGATAAGGGCCCTTGCCTTTGCGATAAACGGTCCTCGATTCTTTTTCGCCAGGCTGGGATGGCGCTTCTTTGTGTAGTAGCGCGTCCAGCCATGGGAAGTTTGGCGCCAATAATACGGAAAACTGCCACAGCGGCGCCAAAGAGAATTGAGTCCGTCTCGCAAAGGTCCCAGTTGGCTTCCAAAAAGGTCACCAGCATTGGGTTAAGAGCCCTCACGACAGCCCGATTTCGTTTGTTTGGTTGCGGGGAAGTCGCGGTCGAGTTTCGAGAGGGGTGCTGCGCGTTTCGAAAATCGCCTCTTCCAATATACTCCTTATTTGCTCTAGTTCGTGGGAGACTATTTCATCGTCGTTCGAATCAACCACAACTGGAAGATCCGTGGCGGCTTCCACGTGTGGATGTTGGTCCACATAGCGAATGTCGGATGTGGAGCTGCATTTCCAGCCATAGCCGATTCATTCGACGATGGAATAGCCTCACGTCGTAGTCGTTCGAGTTCGGCATCATCAAATATTTTCGAGCGCATGATGTACCGAAATCGGTCTGCCAGGTTTTGTTCCGTGACGGGGATAGAAGGCTCCAGCTCATCAAAAAAGCAATGCATCCGAGCCCTATACGCTATTCCCACAGTTTCTTCCCCTTTCGCCCTAGAGTACGCCCGCAATGCGTTTTCGTTCGTAGATTTTGTCCAACGCATGCGACGTGCTCCACCACGTTATTATTATTACTATTATTATTATTATTTTTAACCATTAGCTCTGCTCTTTACGGATTAGTAAAAAATGTTATTCCTTTTTTTCTAAAGGTTCTTGTCTTAAAGTTGCTGAGAATTACCTCGCACACATCCGCTACATAAAATAAAATGATGAGCAGATATATGGTATTTATATATGGTAGGAATCGTGGTTTGTTTCTTCTGACGTTTAACGTTTGGTTTTATTCAATTGTATAGACGCACCACAATCGGGTATAAGCCGATTCTTTTTTGCCCGACCGTCTCAGAAAGAGGATAATATTTTCGAGAGTATGAATGCACGTCAATTTTTTTGGTACGCTCTGTAGCCTAAGCGCCTTGATGGGTTTTTACATATGAGGTGTCGTTAGATTTGTCTTAAGTTTGGTAAGTGTACAATAAACGTCATTCTTTAAATTACTGTTATAACCATTTTGTTTTTTCATAATAATATTTTATCATAATGAAGAACTACGCTATTGTGGATTGGTTACTACCGGAAAGCGATTTACAACAGAGTAACACAATTCCAGTTAAGTTTTATTTTCTGTGGACTATCTTAGCTCACAAAAACTTTATATAACGGCGATCATGAAGTACTTTTAACACTCTTATACCTATACCTTTAGGACATAGTAAATCAAAATAGTACGAATAATACTTAATTTATTAATTATTTTACTGACTTTCAATCCATCACAAATCAGTCTTCGAATATGAGATTTTTTTATACGTACTAGGAAAACAAATATAAAATCGGTACTCCTTTCTAAAATGTACAAAATAAATTTCTAAATAGTAATAAACAACATATTAAAAGACATATTTATCTATATTTGGCTTAGTTTTGACCCTCACCATAACAATCAGGGCATACGGTTACAGCATGTTCCAAATAAAAGTATTTTTTACAGGTGGCACAGTTGTAACGTGTCTAGCGGTTTCTTTTCTATGAGCAGTATTCACATCGATCAATTTTATTATTTTTAGATGTTGCTGAAGACTCGTGTCCATCTAATATATTATGCCTAGTCTGAGCCATATGGTTCTCGGCAAAGATGTAGTGATAGCCCGACGTCTAAATTGCGGATTGATCAAATCGTATGCTAAGGCTTCAAGAAAGATCCTACGGCTAACACTCTTGGTAGGGTTGTTGTGCAGGTATATCATAAATGTATTTATACTCGCTACATTCATCAGGCTATAAAATACCATCATTGGCCATCTATTTGTACCATGTGCAACATTGTAAGTCTCACACATTTTGTCCACGGTATCAACTTCACCTTTGGTTCTATTGTAGTCCATTATCATTTCTGGTTTACCTGTATCTTCATTGATCTGTGCGACATTGTGCATGCTGGATACAAGAAGGACATTTTTGCCTTTTTGCGGTATATAGGATAAAAGACTGGTGTCCTAATAAACTGGACTTTTTGGCTCTCCCTAGTATTTCCGTTAATTGTTTAGGCAATTCCCTGAAAGAATCGTCCCAATAACCGTGAAACCGTCTCAGAAATGAGGGGAGGCCTGTGCCCAGCAGTAGGACGTGTATAGGCTGTAACTTTACTTTACTTTTTTTACTTGCACATATTCTAGTTTTTTTTCTTTTTCAGTCCGTAATAGTGCACTATGTTCTTTTTTATAGAATAAGGGTAACGAACGAGCACACAGTCCACCTGATGGTAAGTGGATGCTGTGGCACATAGACATCTACATCTATCCTCGATTAAAAATCAAAACGCAGATGCGTTGTCACACCTGAGGACTAAGATGGAATGCCTCGGTCCCATTAAAAAGGGTCTCCGGATCTCTACACTCACCATACGAAATTCAGCATTATTAAGCTGCTACTTTATACTGGTTTTCTGTGAGAGCGTGGTCCTTCCCCGGTCGAGTCGACCCATTCGTGCTACAACCATAATATAGCTGCAGCGTGGTTTTACCACGTATGGGTAGTATTTCTCTCTGCCTAGGAGTTTGTTTAAGTAGGAACCACCTTACTTATTTCTGCCGGAAATAATAGTGCTTGCACTGCTGTGTTCCGGTCTGAAGGGTTTACAGAGCTAGTCCAGTTCTATCATAGTGTTCAGAGTTGACAATGCATCTGTAGCCTTCTTTTATAGAAGTTAGCTGCTAGTATCAATTGACTGCTGTAGCCTCACCTTTCATTAGGTTAAATGTATATTTGTTACTTCAAATTTACAAAATTCCACGGCTATCGCCACACAAACAATACTCGTACGTTGCAATAATAGACAGTAAAATTGCAAACGAATCAGTTTGATTCTAATTCAATTACTATAAGTGCACCGAGGTACACCGTAGTAGAATACGTGTTCAACTATTCGCGAGTTATTTGCGATCTTAAATTCATTAGAATACGTGTGATAATTTTTACTACCACATGATTATAAAATGTTTGCTGATTATAATGATTATGCATGATTATAAAACAAGTAAGTTCTAATAGTATTTTTTACTTGCCAGGCGAACTAATGAATGTAGCAGCAAATGCGGCGCACCTATGAAGCTGCTTCTTGTAGCGTAAAATACCTAAATGTTTTACATCTAGCAACTGCCCTCCATTAGAGACAACAAGGTCTTCTTGTCTTTCACATAGTTATCTTTTACGACACTTAGGAGGCGGAATTTCTGCGAAATCCTTTTTAAAAGATAAAGGTGACAAACGAGCACTTAGTCCACCTGATTGGATACCACCTCATAGATATTACATTTACCCTTAATTAATAATGAAATCTTCATGTCTTGATAAAAACGAATGCTGTATTGTTGTATTCGTGGACTTAGCCAAGGCCTCCGACTCAGTTTCTGTTCCATTATTATTAAGAAAACTTGAAAACGTGGGAATTAGAGGATTAGCTTTAGACTGGTTCAGCAGCTATTCACAGGAACGGGAACAATGTGTGAGAGTGGTACTATAAGTGAAATGCGGAGGATTGGCCACGGTTGGCTACGGAGCGCAAAGCGGCTCGAATTGTCGACGACTGAGTGCTCTCCGATCAGCTTGATTATCTGGAGCTGTGAAGAGATGTTGCATCTTTTTGCATTTTCTTTCGCATCTATCACTGGGAGTGCTCTGAGCAATTGTTCGCATTAATCCCAGCCACCAAATTTCAAGAACTACGCGGCAAACCTCCCGATACCATCCACACCATCTGGATGTTGGCGGTCCACCACTGTACGTTTCACTAGGAGTTTTGTTCGCGTACGACCTCTCTGTGGAATAGTTACCACCGCTGGTTTTTCCGGACCGATACGACTTAGGGACCTTCAAGAAAAGAGCTTACTCCTTTCTAAAAGGCCGGCAACTCATCTGCAATTCTCCTGGTGTTGCAGTTGTTCGTGGCCAGCGGTAGTCACTTAACTTCAGGTGAACCTCGTATACTCGTTTGCCCCCTATCCTTTAAAAACTCTCCTATAAAAAACGGTGTTAATCAGGGAAGTATTCTCGGTCGAACTCTTATTATCATATTAACCGCCCCTAAATAGACACGGACATCTACATTTTGTGATTTTTTATTTTCATGATGGTGTCTAAATAAAACATGTTTTAAATCAGTTTGAACATAAAATTGATATCTGCAGTAATAATATTGATATAAATTGGGGTAGAATGAGACAACTTGCATGATTTTTTCTAGACCGTATTCACATCGTATACAACAAGATACTCTCTTAAAAAACACGAACTCTCTTATAATCAAAAAAAAATTAGTTTAATTGTTAAAAACTTCTACTGTTTTGTATATAAGATATTGCCTGTAGTGTAATGGTAAAATATGTTATGATCAAAGAAATAAATATTAAATAAATAAACTTATAAATTTATAAATAATTTAAATAAACTAACTTTACTCAATCTAAAATAATTATAATAAAATAGTTTTCCACTTACAGTTTCCTACGATCGATCGCAATTTTCTTATTATTTAATCGAAATTACTATGATATTTGTTAAATTTAGAAGCGGAAATCGACGACTAGCCTAACAATTTGCTTGAAGTAATTGAAAAAGTATCAGATAGTGACAGAACGAGTTGTGAAGTTTTAGACATAGTTACATTTAAAATAGCTGTAGTATAATATGTAAGTGTTATAAATCCGGAAATTTCTCATGTTTCTGATTGAAAGAAATTACTTGTTTTGTTTTTTTTTTTTCATTTAAGGTAAAAATATGTGATACAACACTGATAAATTGATTTTAGCATATAATTGCAATTATGTTTTTTTTTAATTCCATTCACAGAGGCTAACCTTAAGTGGCACATAATTTCTTACACGCGCAAATATAAGACATTTGTAAAATAAAGAAAATTGCGATAGTAAATTGACAATATGTTGAAGGAAAATGAGACATTTGAGAAGTTAAGCATATTTCGGTCATAAATTGGCAATATATTGAAGTTTTTATATTATAGCTAAGAACTACTCGTATAATTATATTTACGGATCCTTTTCTTAAACAATACAACACAACACAACAGCTTAAACAAACAAAGGAAGGCGATATTCCTCAATGATAGACATCAATGTACAACCGTATAAGTGGTAGAAGTTTTACTTCTCATATATAAAATAATGAAGAGTTAGAAGACATCTACATTAAAAACAAAAATACAATACTTTATAGCTAAAACAGTCACTGATAATTTGTACAATTGAATTTTTAACCATTTTGTCAAGTTTTATTGAAATATCTTCAATAGCAAAGAAAATATTTTACTTTTAACATTTAAGCCACCGTCCTGTAGAATTCACTGTTTGCAGTTGTCCGTCTCTACTCAGGGGTCGTCGGTATACATGAACTCAAAATATTCAGAAATAATATGTTATACTGATGAAACGGTCATTTTATACTTTGGAAAAAGATGTAAAGATGCCATTTCTGCGGTGGAACGCGGTATATCTCAGGTCGCATGTTAATTAACCTCAAACCTGTT